GAGTGTTGACGAGAGGCACCTTCTGGGAGAAGTACTCAACCGGATGCCAACCGTCCTCGTGACACTGTTCCAACACCGCACCGATACCGTATCCCAAAGCGTCCGTAGTCACTTGGGTGGGTAGGGTGGGGTCATATATACGGAGGGCAGGTGCGGCTTGCATCGCTGCCTTCAACGTAGTGAACGCGCCACGGGCTGTGTCGTCGAACTCGAAGGGCACCTTCGGGGACTGAAGTCTTGACAAAGGAGCGGCCACTTTCGAGTATGACTCGACGAATCGCTGATAGTATCCAGCCAAACCCATGAAAGAGCGTACATTCGTCGTGCAACGGGTTTCCGGCCAATCCACGATGGCTTGGATCTTGTCCGCTAAGGGACGAATGCCTTTCGACGTGACAAAATAGCCCAAGTATTCAAGCTCTTGCCTGGCGAATTCGCACTTGTCGAGATTCGCTTTGTACTTGGCTAGTCGCAAACGATTCAAAACACCGCGAAGGTGTACGATGTGCTCGTCCAACGTCCTACTATAAACCAAGATATCATCAAGGTAGATGAGGACGCTGCGATCGAGCAAGTCGCGAAACTCAGTCGTCATCGCTGCTTGAAACGTTGCGGGGGCATTGGTGAGGCCAAATGGCATGACCACCCACTCAAAATGCCCATACCGCGTCTTGAACGCGGTCTTGTACCGGTCTTGAGGCTGGATTTCAGTCTGGTGGTAACCTGACTTCAGATCCAACTTCGAGAAGTACGTCGCGCCGCCTAACCGCTCAAGGAGATCATAAATCCAAGGGAGAGGGCCGGCGTTCTTTACGGTTTGTGCGTTAAGTTTTCGATAGTCGATGTATAACCGTAGATCTTTGTTCTTCTTCCGGACGAAGAGAACCGGTGCACCGTATGGCGAGCAACTAGGGCGAATCCAGCCCTTGTCAAGAAGGTCATCGAGTTGTGCGCGAAGCACTTCGAGTTCCTCTTCACTCATGCGGTAGATACATCCACGCGGAGGGACGGCGCCTGCCTCGAGAGTGATCCCGTGACGTATGGGCCGATCCGGAACCGTTCCGGTGGGAGCCTCGAAGACGTCTCTATACTCGTCCAAGAGGTGAGAAATGCGTGGGTCCGGCGCTGACGCGGCTGGTCCGTCCGGCGAGGGGAGAGCATGCAAGAATACAAGGTCCATCTCCTCGACGTAATTCCGAGCAATGGCGTCGCGAATTCTCGCAACGGAAACCACGTGACAAGCAATCGAAGTGTGAGGGGTTGCGACCGTACATGGGACTAACACTCCGTTCCGATCACGGGTGTGAACGGTTCGGTCATGGAAGTTCACCGGATGATCGGCGCTACGCAACCAAGACATGCCTAGAATTATGTCGAACTTGGTGTCGAGGATGTCAAAAGACACCGGCTCGCACGCAAGTGGCGCATAGTAGACCGGAACGTCGTCAACTCATCGGTCAATTGACTTTTGCGTGCGGCCGTCCGCAAGTGTAACTTGCGTAGGTTGCGTCTTTCTTCGAACGCGCGGGCCAAGACCTGCACGGGCCATAAAGGCTTGACTCATGAAGACGCTCCGCAATCAATCAAGGAACTACAGGTTGCCTTTCCGATTTGAATGCGGATATAGAGCAAAGGTGCGTCAGTTTCGGCGTACCTTTGGATGGCGTGCTCGCGGTCGATCTTCGCAAGATAGGAGCGGAGATCGGCAACCGCTACCCCGTCGTCCGTCAACGGAGCTGGTACTGTAGTGTGCAAGTAGAAGCGTAGATTTGCCATCAAGGCGTTGCAATGCGGCCTTGGCATGGTTCCGGTCGAGGGTAGAGGCATCCAGGCGAAGTCCTCTCTCGTGAGCGGGTCAAGCTCCTCAAGTTTTGACCACGCCGTCGAGTCCTTGGAAATCAGTGGCGAACTGACCGGATCACTTTCCGACGATGTACAGGCTGCGCATACGCAATCTACATGCACGTGGCTAGGCTGGTCTAATGGTGGTACCAGCTGGGCGGCATAATCCTCGTACGTAGCACGAGAATCAGCGACTAGCGCATACTCCCCGGTAGTGACATCGATTGCTAGCAAGGCAACCGGGTCCGGCGGAGTGAGGAGAGACGTCGCCCCTCTCCTTGCGTACCTCAGTTTCCCGAGTTGGTTGGACGGGGTACGCGTGCCTTGCCCTTGTCTGGGCATTGTGCGGTAGTGTGTACTACACTGTTGCACCATAGGCAGTATGCGTACTTCTGACGTAGGTCATAGACCTCCTTGGTGATCTTATAAGTCGTCCATGGCTGCTGCCCAGCTCCCGTCGCCGCTGTCCCTTGTGTCGCCTTGTTCTTGCGAACTCTCTTCGGATGCTTCGGCGGGAGCGCTGCGACAATTCCTCCATCACTCGAGGATGCTGCCGC